CAGTTTTTTGTTGTGATTTTTTTTTCTTTTTTTTTTTGAGACGGAGTCTTGCTCTGTTGCCCAGGCTGGAGTGCAGTGGCGCAATCTCAGCTCACTGCAGCCTCTGCTTCCCAGGTTCAAGCAATTCTCCTGCCTCAGACTCACGAGTAGCTGGGATTATGGGCAAGCACCACCACTCCCGGCTAGTTTTTGTACTTTTAGGAGAGACAGGGTTTTACCATGCTGGCCAGGCTGGTCTCAAACTCCTGACCTTGTGATCCACCTGCCTCAGTCTCCCAAAGTGCTGGCATTACAGGCGTGAGCCACTGTGCCCAGCCATTTTTCATTTTATTTGTTGGTTTACCATTTTTTAAGTCAGTATACTGTTTTCTGCTTCCATTCATGCAGTGTGGAGTCTATCAACAACTCTGATCTTTCTCAGAGATTTGACACCCAGTCCCAGCACTGCCACTTACTAGCTGAATGAGAGAGGCATGTCGGCTGATCCCTTTGAGGATCAGCGTCCTCCATCAAAGGGGCCCTTCCTCGGAGGACTGCTACAGAGAGAAGTGAGATACTGTATATATTAAAATGCTCTGTTGGCTGGGTACAGTGGCTCATGTCTGTAATCCCAGCACTTTGGGAGGCCAAGTGGAAGGATCACTGGAGCCAAGGAGTTTGACACTACTCTGGGCAACATAGGGAGACCTTTTCTCTACTGAAAAAAAAAATTATTCCAGTGTGGTGGCACGTGCCTGTGATCCTAGCTACTTGGGAGGCTGAGATGGGAGGATTGCTTGAGGCTAAGATGGGAGGATCACTTGAGCCTGTGAAATCAAGGCTGCAGTGAACCATGAGTGCACCACTGCACTCTGGCGTGGGTGACAAAGTGAGACCCTGTTTCAAAAGAAAAAAACGAGGCCTGGCACAGTAGCTCAAGCCTGTAATCCCAGCACTTTGGGAGGCCAAGGCGGGCAGATCACCTGAGATCAGGAGTTCGAGACCAGCCTGAACCCCCGTCTCTACTAATAATATAAAAATTAGCCAGGTGTGGTGGCACATGCCTGTAGTCCCAGCTACTTGGAAGGCTGAGGCACAAAAATCACTTGAACTTGGGAGACAGAGGTTGCAGTGAGCCAAGATCACACCACTATACTCCAGCCTGGGCAACAGAGACTTTGTATCAAAAAAAAAAAAAAAAAACCTCTGTTAACAATAGAACATTTGGCCAGATGTGGTGGCTCACATCTGTAATCCCAGCACTTTGGGAGGCTGAGGCGGGCAGATCACCTGAGGTCAGGAGTTCAAGACCAGACTGGCCACCATGGTGAAACCCTGAGTCTGCTAAAAATAAAAAAATTAGCCAGGCGTGGTGGCGAACACCTGTAATCCCAGCTACTTGGGAGGCTGAGGCAAGAGGATCACTAGAACCCGGGAGGTGGAGGTTGCAGTGAGCCAAGATGGCACCAGTGAGCCAAGATGGCACCATTGCACTCCAGCTTAGGCAACAGAGTGAGACTCCATCTCAAAACAAAAAACAAAACAAAAAACAATAGAAGTGAGTTATTGCTCTATGATGTTTATCATTATATGTTCTAGGTTCCAATACTCCTACTTTTACTTTCTGGGTTCTTGTTTTTATCCCCCCATCCCGTATTTACACTGAATTTGTTTTTGTTGTTGACCCCAGATTTGTTAATTTTATGTTGTTCTTTTTGTATTGGTACTTCCCTTATCTTGGGCACTTTAATTGGAATTTTAGTGGAGTTAATATGAAAAAAAGAGCTCCATCAAGCACCATAAACTACAAAGACCTAAAGAGAAGCATTTTCATTATTTTTTTTCTGTTTAGGTGCAGGGTTGATCTTGCATTGTACTAATTGAGTAAATTGAATGTGAAAAAGGTGTTGAGAGTTGAGCGGTCTAGGAGTGAAGAGACAAGAATACATTAAGCACATGAAAAGAAAGGCTCAGATTGAAGAGGTGGTTGGATTTTGTGGAAGCCACAATCACTCCTCTGATAGGTCTTAGTTATAGAGTGATAATTTTAGGAACAAGAGACTTAGGGGAATTAAATACTGTGTAGAAAATGCCCTTCTCAGTGAAATAAAGAAAAGAAGATGGAGAATATTTATATCCTAGTTACCACAAAAATAGTGTAAACAAAGAGAAATGGGCCAAAGGTCTTTTAAGTTATTCATACTCTAAATTTAGTTGTAAGATTCCCTTCCTATGTTTACTAATGTGGTGAAGACCAAAGCTAGGATATGGAATAATTTAATCAATTAAGCTTGTAAAGCATATTTACTATAAAGCTTGTTTACTAAAAGAAACTGTATTTGTTCTAGTCAAGTACTCAGAAGAAATTGAATTTGATCATACTATGAATGATCTCACCAGTCCTGTGATAACCTGCCACACTGTAAATGAATTTGTAAACCTTGTGTTCAATTAATACATTACCATATATACTATGTGGAATTTGAGTGGCTATCTAATATTGGTGCAGAAAAAAATGAAAATATTTCCTCTGATTCATCCAAGCAGAGTGTGTGTCCTTTTTTTCCACAAGTGAGAGAAAGAATTAAAAAAAAAAAAAAAAGGAACAAGAAGGAGAAGAATGGTAAGAAAAGCAATAGGAGAAGATATTTGAGACCATAAAGGCTTCTGTGAAAGAAGGCTGCCAGTCCGGAATTAGAGCTCATGGTCTCTGGTCTTGGATCGATTAGGTACCATTTACCTGAACTCTGAAGATACAGAGAACAGAGATGGATTTCTTCAGTAATTAGCAGTTTGACAAGACTTCTAATTTTGATACTAAGCTAGATAACAGTTAGTTCTTAGGATAGAAGTAGAGACCATTCTAGTCATATAGAGAGGAAAAATCAAGCCAAGTGGGAAGGAGATGGACTTAAAGGATGGAAAGATACAATTTAGCTTTAGACTGACGGAAGGTAGAATTTCTAAACAACTATAATTATTGATTAGTTCATTGTTCTTCAAGAAAGCATCACAACTTTAATAACATGGGTATACTGTACTCCAGACTTCTGTGTCTTACTCCTGACATAAGGGTACAGCAAAATAAACTGGGGAACAACATCCCTGAGTAACAATTTTGGAGGAGGCAACAAGTCAGCAGTGGACATTGTAAATAAGAGTCCACCTAACCTAAGTAAAAGGGTTTTTTTGTTTTTTGTTTTTTGTTTTTTTTTGAGATAGGGTTTTGCTCTGTGATCCAGGCTGGAGTGCAGTGGCAGGATTATAGCTCACTGTAGCCTTGACCTCCTGGGTCCAAGCAATCCTCCCACCTCAGCCTCCTGAGTAGCTGGGACCACAGGCATGTGCCACCATGCTGGGCTAATTTTTTTTGTATTTTTGTAGAGATAGGGTCTCCCTATTTGCCCAGGCTAGGAGTCCTTTCTTGTTCTAACATGGCTCACGAGAATTCTGCAATGGTATTGAGAGACAAGTCCCAGGCAGTAATTGCATTACTTAACCTTACTTTGTTCCCTGGGACTATATTTCCTTCAGGTATGTTACAATTTGCAGCAACAGAGCATTTTGACTGTCTTGTTGAAGGTAGATTAGGATCTTTGCATCTCATATTCTAACCTCATATTTATCAAGAAATATAGGTACCTTATTTTGACACGACATGTAGGTAGAAACAGGCAATGAAATACTATGCAACCATTAAAAATAATATGTAAAATATTTAATGACATGAGGAAAATGATACACTGCAAAATAAAACTGATTATTAAACTATAAATGATTACATTTTTAAAAATTTTATAATTCTATATACATAAAAATAGGGAAAAGATATAAAGCAGAATAACTCTGCCATTAAAATTATGTGTACAGAAAAAATAACAACACAGGAGAACAACTTGTAATGTTAAATGAAAAATGGTAGAAATAATATCATATGATTCATGACTGAACAAAATGTGATTTTGACTTTGTTGAATTTGGACAGAGAAGAAACTGGAAGGGAGAACATGAGAAATTGGCAGTGGTTTTCCCTTAGTGCTGGAATTATGAATGAGTTTGGTGAGATATTTTTCTTTATACTCTTCTGTCCTCTTTAAATGCACATGTAATTTATTTATGATAATGTAAATACTTCTTAAATGTCTGTAACTTTTCAAAAGTGATGCTTCAGGATAAATAAACTGCTAGGCATTTTAAGAATTTACATCACTCTAATATACTGGAGGGAAGGGATGGATCTGAAAGGCTACCATCGGTAAGAAGAATAAAACTTGTTCTGTGTCCTCCAGAAGTCTGGACAGTGATCAGCAGGTAATAGACATAGAGGAACTGATTTCAACTTTTGAAAAAAAGAGTTTTCCACTAATTAACACTGTCCCACAGTGGAATAGGTTCCCTCAAGATGTTGAGTGCTGAAAGTGATCAAGCAGAGGCTAGAGGGCTTCTTGCCTGGGAGCAGGGGAGGGTTGGGGGAGAAAGACAAGAGGACAGTGGGGTAGGTGACCTCTAGCATCATTTTGGCTGCTAACATTCTATCTGTGCATTCATTTGCTCATTCACACAGCTTCCAAGCTGACCCCCAGTGATCCTTGCCAATGTGTATTCATGTTCTTGTGCAATTCCCTCCCAGGTTGAACAAGATGATCCAAATAATCAATAGGATACTGCGGAAAAGATGGTGTATGACTTCAATCATAAAGACTTGGTAGCTTCTGCCTTGCTCTCTCTTGAGTTGCTCACTCTGGAGTAAGCCAGCTCTTGTGTCATGAGGACACTCAAGCAGCCTGTGGAGAGGCCCGTGAGGAGAGGAACTGAGGACTGCCAATACCTGTGAGTGATTCACCTTGGAAATAGACCTCCAGCCCAGACAAGCCTTCAAACGACCACATCCCCTGACATCTTGTCTGTAACTTCAGAGAGACCCTAGCAGAATGACCAGGTAGGCCATACCTGAACTCCGGACCAACAAAGACTGTGTGGGATTAAGTCACTAAAATTGGGGATAATATTTTTACACATTTTTACCTGAAATGTAAACGGGTAAAATCTGTTATGATTTGTTCCATAACAGAGTTAATATTCTGTGATCCAGTCATTTCAGCTGAACTATCGACAGGTTTTTCTTAATAAGGCAAAATCCCCAGCTGTTACAGATGCATAACAGTAGCCTCTCCACTTAAGTAGTACAGTTTAACCCGCCACCATTCAATGTCTTAATATGTTCCAAGTAGAACAGTGTCATCTGGGCTTTAAGGTGATGTATCTTGTTTTTTTTTTCTGATGGAAAAAGAATAATGTGCTTTTTATTCTCCTACAGATTTGGTGTCTGTGAATAGCTGTAGCTCTAACTGTGACATTTACCATACATTTCTTAGCTTCCACCCATCAATTTGCTGAGAAAAAAAGGTATGCTACAAATTGCAGCAATAGAGCATTTTAAAAAGGTAATTTTCAGCATTTTAGCACCTGAAAGGGAAACTTTTGTCTGCTTAAACAGGCCAAAAGCAAAGACGAAGATTGCATGTTGTTCTCACAGATGACTTAAATAATCTCTTTGATGATAAAAATATTTTTAACGCCTGAAAGTTATGAGATATTCTGGGTAAGCCTGATTATCAAAGAATATCACAAATAGCTTTGGAGATTGTGTATTGTTTGTCACCGAGTCAAAGAGATCTGTGGGATTGTGAGGATTCTTGGGTGGAGGGGTAACTAATCCTGCATGTCCCTTTGTGAAGACTCCAGTAAGTACTCGCACAACGTACATGTGCTTTCTCCCATTGCTGTCCGGCTTGGAGTAGGTGTCGTTGGCAGAATAACTGGCATCCACAGCAAAATAGGTTCCTTTTCCATAGAATACAGCTGGAAAGAGAAAGACAAAAACCTTCCTAAGAATATAAAATTACACAATATGTAGAACCATGCCCAATCTGACAAAATTGTTTTCTAAATGCGGTTCTAGCCAGGTGTGTTGGCTCATGCCTGTAATCCCAACACTTTAGGAGGCTGAGACAGGAGGATTGCTTAAGGCCAGGAGTTCGAGACCAGCCTGGCTAACATTATGAGATCCCTTCTCTACAAAAATAAAACAAAATTATTAGCCAGGCATAGTGGTGTATGCCTGTAATCCCAGCTACTCAGGGGACTGAGGTAGGGGCATCATTTGAGCTCAAGAGATCAAGGCTGCAGTGAGCCATGATCTTGCCACTGCACTCCAGTTTGGGTGACAGAATGAGACTGTCTAAAAAGAAAAAAAAGCCTCCCCCCGAAAAAAACCTGCACATTAAAGTTACTTTTCTTCATTTCTAAAATTTGCTCAATCTTCCCTCAGAAGGTTGCCAGTCTCCTTTATAGTGAAACACAGCGAGCTCTATTCTGACAGTGATAATACAGCTGCCAACCATGGTTCCACACTGCTTGGGTATGAAAAGTCTGAAACTATCGTTTGCCTCGTTCTGATCAGCCAGATTACTCGCTTCCTTACCATTCTTCCCAGCATAACTTCGATTAAAGCCATGCTGATTGACATATGTCACTGAGTCTGCACCTGTCCCATGGAAGAGGAGTCTCTCATTATTCGTATCATCATTCTTGATATCCATTTGCCTTTTCTTTACCTGGTAGCTCTGCCAGAGAAATGCATTCTGTATCCTCTCAATCTGCAAGTGACAAAAGACAAAATATTTCAGAAATGATCTTAGGGCTCAGTGTATTGCACTTGTTGTGGATTTAAAACAAGCAATATGAAAAAGAAGGAAGAGGAAGAGGAGTTGGTGAAGGAAAAGGAGAAGAGAATACAAGTAGACAGCACATTCAGAGAGTAGGCAGTTTTCCGCCTTTAGAGAAAGATGGTCTAAAAGTATCTATTAGTATCTATGCTTTGTAATAGTGCTTGTTAGTATATATTTTAAATAACATAATTTATAGTTTATATCAAAATGATTACCAATATATATTCCCTGGAATTCCTGGAGATTCGCTGACATTCAAACACCTACTCAAAAATGTGTAGTTATTCAATAGCCATGTCCTTAACTCCTTCTCATCTTCCAACTCATTCCATGTGGCTTCTCCTCATAACAGTTCTTTCTGTTAATGCTCCAATTATGGTCACAAATCACCTTATAATTGCCTGATCTTATGACTATTTTTTTCTAGACCTCTGAATAGCATTTCAAACCATGAACCATCCCCTCCTTAAAACTCTGTTCTTTCACTTCTTTTCAAAATGCCACTCTCTACTGGCTCTCCTTCCTCCTAGGAAACAGAGTTAACATCCATTCAGCCATCACCTACTGAACATCTCTATGAATCAAGCTTGTGTTGGATCTCTGCCTTCATGAAACAGTCAGTCTAATGGCACAGGGGCAGGGGCAAGGCAAGAAAACTAACCACTACCCCACAGAGTGATAAGGGATGGTCAGGAGAACACACCTGGAGCTATGAAGTTATAAGAACGGGCTCCAGATAACCTGTGTCTGGGAAAGGAGGAGGAAATCTGAAAGGATGATGTTCTGGAAACAGAAGAAGAAGAGAGGTTCAAGAAGAATGGAGTGAGTACCTGGGCAGCTGTTGAGGAGAATCCAAGCCATAAAAGGTAGGAAAGATGTTCTGCTGAAAGTAGCGGAGGCCTCTGGGAGAGAAATGAAGGTTTGCAATGGGGAATGTGTGAGGGGGTGACTGGAGGAAGCAATGAAGGATTCCAGGCAGCCTGGAGGGTCCAGCTGAGGCTGGGGATCATGAATTAGTAAGGATTTCATCTAGGAGCAGCAGGAGAGAAGGTAGGTTATGGAATTAATCCAAAGTTGGGGGTTTTCAAAAGAAGTATGAGCCAAGAAAGTTGCAGATACTGGGTAAACACAATTGAAATGAGGTTCTTGCACATCTTGTACAGTCATCCTTCAATCTCCATGAAGGATTGGTTCCAGGACCGCTGCAGATACCAAAATCTGAGGATGCTCAAGTCCCTGATATAAAATGACATAGTACTGTATTTGTATTAATATATAATCTACACAATCCTTCCATATACTTTCAGTCATCTCTAGATTTCTTATATTGCTTCATACAATGTATTAACAAATGCCATGTAAATAGTTGTTACATTGTTTAGGGAATAATGACAAGAAGAAAAAGTCTGAAAAAAAAAAAAGAAAAAGTCTGTACACATTCCGTGCACTCAACCATCATAGGCCTCACCACACTTTCCATCCAAGGTTGGTTGAAATCATGGATGCAGAACCCATGGATTCAGAGGTCTAGGGCTGTACTTCCAACAGCTTTTAACACGACGAGGCATCTCCTCCTTTAAATTCTGTCCTTTCTGTAGGATGTCTCTATCTCCTGGTTCCCCTTTCTCAGGAATTAAGCTCATTCATTCAATCAAGTTTACTCAATACATATCGTGTCCTACTATGTGCTAGACAGCTTCCTAGGTACTGAGAATGAAGAAATGAACAAGATGCAACTCCTACCTTAAGCAGCTCACTGTCTACTCAGGGAGCCAGGCACGTGAAAGGTTATCAAAGTACCTTATAAGTGCTGTAATGTAAGTGCATAGTTACAAAGTACCACTTTATAAGTGCTCCAAGAGGTAAGTACACAGTTCTATGGAAGCGCCAACAAGATTTTAAATTACTAGGATGCCACACCCTGTTCTGATACACATGGTATGATAATGACCTCCTATAGTTTACTGACTAATGTTTTTACGCAGCATAGTGGACATTGTGGTAATCTTCTAAACATACATTCTACCTCATCAGCAACTTCTGGTTTGAGTGGGATTGGCCCTACTTATAGTTCTAGGATGGCGTCTAATTGAGTTAAACTAATCAGGATTTCAATATGGATCACACATTGATGGCATTTGATAGCTCAGGCCCAAGCCAACAAGAACAGGGTATTCCCTAGACATGGAGATAGTTGCAGTGGTTGGGATTCTTGTCCAGTAACTGCAGGACAGGACAGAGTTGTCTTCTATGGGTTGTGAATGAGAAAGCAGAGATCCTCTAATTGCTGCCAGCAGCCACCCAACAACCACAAAGAGAGTCCAGCCTTAACACAAAGCTGACACTGAGGACAGCAAAGCTGGAGCAACTGGATCCAGGACACCATCAAGCCGCTGGATCAGACTTCTCCAAAGCCCATCCTACTTCGGGACTTTCCACTAATTTCCGACACAGTTCTCCTTGTTTAATCAGTTTGAGTGAGTTGGTTTGTGACTTGCAGCTGAAAGCATCCTAACATACACATGTGACTTGGAATCTCCTTCATTACTGCTAATGAGTAAACCGTGAGATTTGAAGTCTGTGGAGCTTGAGTAAGTCTAATTCCAGTTAAAATAAACATAGTAAGGTACAAAGGAAGGAAAGGTGTCATTTAAAAAGAGATAGCTTTTATGATAATTCATCAACATTTTTAAACAGTAAATTTTAACACAGTATTACCTTCTCTATTGTGTAGGAAGAACAAGTTTGGGTGAACTTGTCCTTTATGGTATTATATTCTGGTTGTCCTGGGTCTAGCTGGATCATGCGAAACAGCTGATGATTCATGTCAGTCCAGTGTTCAGGAAGATTATCTGGAAAGTCAGCATTTGGTCAAAATACAACATTCATTTCCAAAGACCTCTGAAAATCAGGGCACCTCCTATGCTCTTGTCTCTCGTCATCCAAACCTGGTCTTTAAACTAGAAGTTACACGTTTCACAGTTGCTTCTTCTATTATCCTCAGTTGAGTAAACCCAGATGAAGTGAATGGTCTGACATCAATATGACACACAATATATTCATTAATGCTCTAGCTAAAATATTTAGATAAACTTAGATCCACTGTAGCTTGAAATTGTAATTTTCCCAGAGAGTTCTATGGAATTAATTTTGTAAGAAACTAATATGTAAACATGAATGTTAATTTCTAGGTGCTTTTGCTTTTATCAGTATTATTTAATGTAGTTCTCTTCTATTGTTTTGAAAATGATTACCCTGCTAAAGATATTTAAAGTACATTGTTCTGTACCCCATCTTATACACCAAGCAGAGAAAGCAGCATGTAAAGAAAATAGCAGATGTGCTAAGAGAATGCTTTCCCATAAGGTGATCATGCCTGGGTTTCCTTTGCTTTTCAATGGCTTCCTGGAACTTCTAAAACACCAAGGCTAGACATCAACTTGCTAAGATAGCAGGACTAGTGTGAACATGGACACCCTGCATTAGAGACACACCACTATAGGTAAAAACCAAAGGATTTCTTCCTTACAAACAAAGCCACAATTTACTCCTTTTTAGTGAAAGATATACCCAGCCTGAGAGAGGGATCCAGGGCACTGTCTTCCTGTTGAGCAAGTCCATCTGGGGTAAGTTCTCGTGACACAGGGAGGCATCTAACCCTAATCAGTAAGCTCTTTTCAAACTCTATTTTTAAAGTCGTTCTGGCAGTTTCCCACCAATAAGGTGTGTGGTTTCTGAAAGCTACATTCCTTCCTTTCCCCCACTGTCCATCTCCTTCAGGATCTTTCTGCCTAATCATTTCTAACCCAAGGCCTTACAGTCCTTTTGGATCTGCTGCTTCCTTTCCCCCGAATACAGCAGGCAAACCTGGGAAGTAAGGAGGTGAAGGTTTTTTGGGGGCTCTCTATTCCTTTCATGCCCTGAGGTCGGAGAGCAGGAAGCTATCAGGACTTGGAATCAGAAGACTAGATCAGCCTCAGCCTGTGACCAGCCGTATGATATTGAACACATATAACACCACTTCTGGGTGAGTTTTTATTTTCTCATCTGTGTAATGGGAATTGTAAGATAGATCCCATGAGCTCTATCTACCACCTCACAGGATTGTTGCAAAGTTAAAATATAGTAAGGAGTCTGAAAGTGCTTTAGGGAATGCCAAGTCCTTTGTAAACATAGGGTTATTATTCTTAAAAACCAATTAAGCTTGATTTTTTTACATCCCAGAGGTATTTGCATATTATTATTAATAATTATTATTTTGCGATAGAGTCTCACTCTGTTATCCAGTCTTGAGTGCAGTGGCACAATCATGGATCACTGCAGCCTTGACCTCCTAGGCTCAGGCAATCCTCCTGCCTCAGCCTCTCTAGTAGGTGCGACTACAGGCACATGCCTCGCTATTTTTTTTTTTTTTTTTTGTAGAGATGAGGTTCTGCCATGTTGCCCAGGCTGGTCCCACTCCTGGGCTGAAGCAATCCTCCTGCCTTGGCCTTCTGAAGTGTTGGGATTACAGGCATGAGCCACAGTGCTCAGCTGGTATTTGTATATTAACAGGGAATAAAGCATAAAGCCAAAGGTATTTTCTTGGAGGAAAAACATTTAAATCATACCCTTAAGCCACACCAACCTACTCTGTCTTCTATGTACAAAAGATGACTTTGGCTAGACAATTTAGAGGAGAGAAAACAGAGTCCCAGGAATACTCACCCAGCATCACATGGAAGGTCATTACCAAAGTAAGTAGCACTGTTGACTTGCAGCCCAGGGCTTCACAGAAATATCATGGTAACTACCCTTTTAAAAGTGTTTCCATGTGCTAGGATTTTCCTGAGCCCTCTTCCCATACAGCTCTTTGAAAAGATTAGTGTTTTTTAAAACAGGGGTCCCCAAATCCCAGGCCACAGATTAGCACTGGTCTGTAACCTGTTAGGAAGCAGGCTGCATGCAGGAGGTGAGCCGCAGGCAAGAGAGCAAAGTTTCATCTGTGTTTATAGCTGCTCCCTGTCATTCACATTACCGCCGTCTTCTGTCAGATCAGCGGCAGCATTAGATTCTCATAGGAGCTCAAACCCTGTTGTGAACTGTGCATGCAAGGGATCTAGATTGTGCACTCCTAGTGAGAATCTAATGCCTGATGATCTGTCACTGTCTCCCATCACCCCCAGATGGGACTGTCCAGTTGTAGGAAAACAAGCTCAGGGCTCCCACTGATTCTACATTGTGGTAAGTTTTATAATTATTTCATCATACATTACAATATAATAATAAAAAAAATAAAGTGGACAATAAATGTAACGCACTTGGATCATCCTGAAACCATCCCCCTTCATAATCCAGTCCGTGGAAAACTTATCTTACGTGAAACTGGTTCCTGGGGCCAAAAAGTTTGGGGACCACTGTTTTAAAAGATAAGCTCTACTTTTGAATTCCTGGTGGTTCAGGATAAATGCCCTCAGCTGTGGGGATGGGATTAAAAACCAAGATCCCAACCGAGCACGTTGGCTCATGCCTGTAATGTCAGCACATTGGGAGGCCGACAGGTGGATCACTTGAGATCGGTAGTTCGAGACCAGCCTGGCCAACATGGTGAAACCCCATCTCTACTAAAATGCCTGTAATCCTAGCTACTCAGGAGGCTGAGGCAAGAGAATTGCTTGAACCTGGGAGGCAGAGGTTGCAGTGAGCCAAGATTATACCACTGCACTCCAGCCTGGGCAACATAGTGAGATTCAGTCTCAAAAACAAACGAACAAACAAACCAGATCCCTGGCTCTGCCCCCAGTCTTCCTCTCCTCACTGTTTATTCTCATGGATAAGCCAATCACACTTAAGGGCTTCAATCCCACCTACTCACGTGACTTCCCAAATCTATATTTCTAATATCTGATATACAGTTGGTGCTCAATAAATAACCTCTGGACTCAATAAATAGCTTTAACATACATTTGAAAAGTAATTGTGTATCATCTGCACAAATGAATCTCAAAGCTATCCTCTTTAAGTTCTTTTTGAAAAAGGGCTATATGTTAAATCCTTACTAAAATTCCAGTTTATCTGAGCCAACAAACTTCCTTTTATCTGATATTTCATCTGTATTATTCCTTTTCTCTAACAACAAAGATGACGTAATGCAGTTTTATTGTGGTTTGTTTTTGCCTCGGGTGCCAGAAGTTCAGGTTGAAATCAGTCTTTCACTGCATTGACAACCCTGCTGTCTCAGAGGGTCAGTTGTCTGCTCATTTTAGTCAGTTTTTTGTTTGCTTCTCTCCTCAACTTCACTGTTTTGTTTTTTAAATTTGTAAGTCTGTTTAAAATCTTGATGAAAGCAAAGAGTGATGAACCAGTTAAACTTTATATTTTACTTTACTGATAATGACTTATTTACTGTTCTTAAATTTAAATAAAAATTTTCATCTACAAGGACCAAAGGGAAGAAGTGTTAGTTTATATATCCCTAGATACTGTAGTAGGTACATACTATTTTTATATGCCCAGTATCCTTTTCTCATCTTCTGGTAAAAGCTTTCTGAATTTCCTCTGGGGAACAGCTATTCCCCCATTGCTTCGAATGGTGACCCCGTCTAGCTGAAGTGTGGAGTATGTGACTCTGGTTTGGCCAATCAGTGTAATTCTGGTTCCCTGCCTGCAACGATAACCTAAAATGGTCCAATCAGAAAGACTCTCAGCGCTTAAAAGACCTCTGTTCCCTGGCATCATGTTCCTGGATAAGTGTATATCTCCACTGGATATACTCTTTCCTCTTGAAACTGACTGTGGAAGGATGTGGACCTAAAGCTGCTAGCAGCCATCTTTCACCATATGAAGCCCGAGGAAAAAGACAACACAGCTGAGAAGAGAATGAGAGATGAAGAAATTCAGGGTCTAGATGATATTATTATATGAGCACCTGGACCAAACTGTACCTGAAGCCAGGAATGTGTGGGTTTTATAATAACATGAGTTATTGAATTCTGCTTTTTGCTTAAGCCAGTGTAAGTTGAATTTTCTGTTATTTGCTACTGCAAGAACCTTTACAGATCCAACTATTATTTTCATGTTTTTATTGTGTGTGTCCTACATGTATTGTGTGTTGTAGCATGCTGAGGAGAATACTTGTCAGGAAATAAATGTAGAGAGAACTGACATTCCTCCTGACAGCAGCAGATAATAATTCTCAGTTTAGGGAGGCTGCTGATGGCACATGTGCCTTATCACTAGCAAAACCCACAGCGCTTTAAGGGTGAGTGCTCCAAATGGGTGAAAATAGTGATTTCAAGAGGAGGCTGCAATCCTAGTTGTTTTAATAGCAGTACAAATGCCACAAAATAGGGGAAAACGAAATCAGAGGAAGAGGTTGGTACAAATACTTAAAGTATAAACACACCTTACAGAGTAGCAACTGGGTATCTGGGAACTGTCTGGCTGCTTGTGATGTAGTACACAACCAGCTGACCCTAGCCACTCCCTTCTTACATCTGATTTTATTCCAGGCTAACATGTCTATAGGTGGATGATTAGCAGACCAATATTAATCAGCTAGTTCACAGCTCCAAAAGGCAATGAGGGCCAATACCAACCAATCAATGAATATTGGCTAGACCATTGGCTAGAATTTGCAAAGCCTCCTCCCTCTTTCTGCTTCCTCACTTCCATTCTCTTCCTGTTTATTTGCCATTCCTATTTCCCAGGCATGATTTTGCCTCTCAGGAAAATAATCAGTTGACAGGAGGTTGCGTTCTCTAATTTTTGTACTTTTCCCATGGGTCATAAAAACTTATCTGAAAAGTCCTAAAACAAATAGAAAACTATAAACTCAGTGTACATTCACACCTAAACATTTTCTAAGTGATTATCAGAGCCAGCTAGGTGATTTTTAAAAAGTAAACATCTTACATGTAGTCATGGAGAATGTGGATTGAAAGTTCGGTGATGCAGAGAGGTCTCTTTTCATGCTGTCGTAGAATACATTTAGCAGCTTAGGTTGAAAGATGACAACTTTAACGGTTTTTAATGATGGGGTGGAACGCTGCAATGAGAAGTCTACAATAGCATCGATTATGTTATCAGCAACTGTGGCTGGATTTTTTCCAGCATTTCCTGAAAAAAATTTAATGACAAAGAAGAAATTTCAGCTGATGTTGGTAATATGATGAAATTTGGCACATGCAGTTCTCAGTGCTGAGAAACAGGAAAACCCCTGACAGTCAGGAACTGATCTGACACTCACAGCTAGTTGATGTTCTTTAGCTGAATACAAACAATTTCATAGTATATCATCCATGTAACCACTCTGACCATGATGAATTAACACAAAAACAAGACTACTCCATAATTATGTCTTATCATAGACAAAAACATGAACCCTGTCCAAATCACAGAGATGGCCAAACATCCCCCATCTTGACTAATAAGAGTGATAGCTGCTAGGCCAGCCGTGGTGGCTCACATCTGTAATCCCAGCACTTTGGGAGGCTGAGGTGGGCGGATCACAAGGTCAGGAGATTGAAACCATCCTGGCTAACATGGTGAAACCCCGTCTCTACTAAAAATACAAAAAATTAGCCAGGTGTGGTGGTGGGCGCCTGTAGTCCCAACTACTGGGGAGGCTGAGGCAGGAGAATGGTGTGAACCCGGGAGGCGGAGCTTGCAGTGAGCCAAGATTGTGCCACTGCATTCCAGCCTGGGCGACAGAACAAGACTCCGTCTCAAAAAATAAAAATAAAAAAAGAGTGACAGCTGCTGCATTACCAATCATACATTTAGCCAGAGTGCATCCTCCTTCCTTCTAGATATGACAATCATAGAATTATGTCTGTTTCCTCAAAGTCTCTGATCCAGAGAAAAGCCCCACTTACTTGAGACTGCCACAAAATCACCTAAAACAAGCCCAAATCCATTACGTTTTCTAACACTCTCCTACTGAGATGCTGCAAAGCTCCCCATGGTGTGTGTTCCTGGTGATCTTTTGCTGATGGGCATTGGCAGTGCAGAAATAAGAACATGTGATCTGGATGCAGAAGAGCTGAGTTTATGTCCTGGCTCCACTACTTACTAGCTGTCTGATCTTCAGTAAGTCATTTGATCCCTCTTGAAGTTAGCTAGGGCTGCGGTATAAAAAGCCATGGACTGGTGGCTTAAGCAACAGAAACTGATGTTCTCATAATCCTGGAGGCTAGAAGACTGAGGCCAAGGTATCAGCAAGGTTGACCTGTAGATGGCTGTCTACTCTCTGTGTCTTCACATGTTCTTCCTTCCATACCTGGCAGTATCCTAATGTCCTCTTCTTATAAGGACATTAGTCATATTGGTTTAGGGTCCACCTTAATGGCCTCATTTTAACTTAATTAGCTCTTTAAAGACCCTATCTCCAGACTAGGTGCTCACGCCTGTAATCCCAGCACTTTGGGAGGCCAAGGCCAGTAGATCAATTCAGGTCAGGAATTCGAGACCGGACTTGCCAATATGGTGAAATTCTGTCGCTACTAAAAATACAAAAATTAGCTGGGCATGGTGGCGGGCACCTGTAGTCCCAGATACTCAGGAGGCTGAGGTAGGAGAATCACTTGAACTGGGGAGGTGGAGGTTGCAGTGAGCCAAGATAGTGCCCCTGAACTCCAGCCTGGGTGACAGAGCGAGACTCTGTCTCAAAAAACAACAACCAACAAACAAATAAAAAACAAAAAACAAACAAAAAAAACCCTACCTCTAAATCTGAGGTACCAGGGTTAGGACTTCAACATATGAATTTTGGAGAGACACACTCAACCTATAGCATCTGTATACTTCAGTTTGCTCAGCTAGAAATTGGGGGTAATAATAGAAGGTAATAGGTAACAGAGATAAGAATATGGTAGCTAAGAATACAGTAGGTAAGAATATAATGGTAAAAAAAAAAAAAACATGTAATAGTAAAAAGCGAACAAGCAAGCAAACAAAAAACAAAACAAAACAAATGTAATGGTAAAAATTGTGCAGGATTTGGGACCAGGCGGCATGGCTTTGAACCTAGCTCTGTTGCTAGGTTGAACCTACCTCAAGTTCCTCATCTACAAAATGGGGACACAGAGTTTAGGATGGATCCAGGTTTTGAAATTTATATGTCTCAGAAAAAGAATAAGTATGTAATTATGTATAACAGTGAATATTTAGAATCAGAAAAGAAATCACAACAAAGTATATCTTTTAAAATGCTGAAAATTGTATTCCTAAGGCAACTTTCCTTAGCTATATCGTGTAAATGTTTATAGCCACCCCAACATCACCCAGTGCAAGGGGAAGTATGAGACGTCAAAGTGGGGAGAAATAGTGGTCTTAATTCATGATGGTTAAAATATCCTACTTTTTAAATTTTACTAAGTCATATAACCAGGTGAAGACATTATTAGGGCTTCTCTCAGGGTCTGTTAAAAATCGTGTGCAAGTGAAGTCCAATAACTTAAGCTTCATTATCTTCACAATAAACTTGTCTTTGCTAATAGTTTCCATGTCATAGGTACCAAGACCAACCCTCCCAGTTTCCCCAGAGCAGAGAGGCTGCCTGCAACATGGGACTTTCAGTGTTAAAACCAGGAAAGTCCTGGGAAAACTCAAAAGAATTGATCACCCTATATAAGGTTACTGTAACGAATACATGAGCTTTGACATATAAAACACCTAGAACATGTAGTAAGGACTCAATAAATCTTAGCAATTATTAATATTACTACTAAAATTAATGTAGCTATTCCAGCTACTTCATGGGAGTTTAGTGGTACTCAAAATAGATTGCGCCTGGCAAACATTTCTTTTTTCTGTCCGTCTTTTTGTTTTCGAGATGGAGTCTCACTTTGTTACCCATGCTGGAGTGCAGTGGTGCAATTTCAGCTCACTGCAACCTCTGCTTCCTAGTTCAAGCAATTCTCCTGCCTCAGCCTCCTGAGTAGCTGGGACTATAGTTGCCTGCCACCACGCCTGGCTAATTTTTCTATTTTTAGTAGAGACAGGGTTTCACCATGTTGGCCAGGCTGGTCTCGAACTCCTGACCTCAAGCAATCAAGTGATCCACCCTCCTCAGCCTCCCAAAGTGCTAGGATTACAGGCGTGAGCCCCTGCACCAGGCCTGAGAAACATTTCAAAAATGTTCGTTGAAATCAATGGGGAAGAGAAAATCCATGAGCACGTCTGGAGGGATCATCAAAATCACCTGTTATTCATTCCGCCATTCAACAAAATTTAAAGGGCAATGATTCTTCACTCAACACAGGGCAGAGAAGACATAAAGATCTGGTCCTTCCCTTTTGAGGATCTCACAATGTATTCACAGTCGAAGAGGCCTGGCACAAGCATTTCATGGCCTCCCACTTCCTCCTCTGGGGTTTTGCACTTACCCTCCTCCAACACTTAGGATTACTGGTTGGTTCTTTTGCTGATTTTTCTGCCCTTTCCCCACCACAATCTACCTGTGGGCATTTTCCACTGTTCTGGTTTCAGCCCTCTTCTTTTTCTGTATGCAGTCCCTTGACAGGTTCATTCCACCTGCCCAGTTGCAAACCTTCCCATTATGTGGCCGATCACACCATGTGATCTCTGCATTGGGTATCATTCTCGGTTACTATGTCCTGCATCTGTTCCAAAATCACGAACTCCTGGAGAGGCCAGAGCTTACTCCATTCTGTTTGCCCAGTGCCAAGTAGCAGAGTGCTTGCCCTGGGTGATGGCAACAAAACAATTTGGGTTTGTGAGAGCTGTAATTAGCCAGATGGTGTGGGAGAGGCTCCAGATGGGGAGAAATGAATGAACAAAAGGAACAAAAAGTGGTAACAAAATGCTTGCAGCACGTTCCCCCTGGCTTCCCTATTGCCCTCATTACCACTGATAACAAAAGGTTATAACTAAAGGTTATAGGTGTTAATAAGGGCAGTGGGGAAGCCAGGAAGAATGTACTGCAAACTTTGGAGGGTGTCCTGGGGGTTATACGAGAGGGGCCTGGGATACCTGCAGGAGCATTCTGTTTTAATCTGGGAAGAAGGAAGTCTACAGAGTTGAGCTAAAATGATGGTGGTGGCTCTAAGATCAAAAATTTAATTGCTGAAAAACTCTCTTAGATTAATGGTAATCTGTGGCTACATACTATTAATACTTCCCAAGGAAGAAGCCCTCATTTGCATGAGAGTGACAGGGGACATGGATGTGAATGAATCAGGAAGTGAGTGACCAGTAGCACTGTCAACTAAGAAGAGCAAATGACTGAATGATACGATAGAGATGAGGAAAGCATTCCTAGACACTGTGAGCAGGACAAACCTGAGCTTGTTGCTCATGGGGAGTGACTGCATCTTACTCATGATTTTCTCCCCAGTGCCTTGCACAGAGCCTGGGTAACGGCATTTCAATTCAACGAACGCATGAATGAGGAGCCGACTGGGAGACATTGAAGTAAACCAGATGGGGGAGGTCTGAAGGGTTTGGAAACGAAAAGAAAGGCTGGAACTCAATAACTCTCTGGAAGAAGATTCAGCAGGACTTGCTGACTCTGGGGGTCTGGGGACACAACAAAGCAAGGATGGCAGGCCAGGGTAGCTGGGAGCGTCATGGCACCACTGAAGAAGGAAACGAAAAAGCCTGAGAGCTCAAGAGGAGTGTTTGTTTTCAAGGGAGGATCATGAGTTTGGATTCTGATGTAATGAAGTTTCTAGTAACAGAAAACTTCCCCAGAGGAGATCCTGGAGAGAATGAGAAATGCTGATTTGAGAGTCAGTGCAGAAATGTTACCAGATATGAGAGCAAATGAATCCCCCAAGGGGAAAAAATGAAGAGTGAGAAAACTATGAAGTTAAGGACCAAACTTGGAAAGATACTTAGGGAACATAAACAAGAAAGGGGTGGGCTCAGCGGCCCATGCCTGTAATCTCAGCACTTAGGGAGGCTGAGGCAGGCGGATTGCTTGAGCCTAGGAGTTTGAGACCAGCCTGGGCAACATGGGGAAACCCTGTCTCTATAAAAAAAAAACAAATATTTGCCAGGCGTGGTGGTGCACACCTGTGGTCCTAGCTACTTGGGAGGCTGAAGTGGGAGGATTGCATGAGCCTGGGAGGAGGAGGTTGCAGTGAGCTGAGATCATGCCACTGCACTCCAGCCTGGGCAACAGAGTGAGACTCTGTCTTGAAAAAAGAAAGAAAGAAAGAAGAAAGATGGAGGAAAGAGGCTTGGGCCCAGTAGCTGGTGGCGCCCTCCGGATCTAAAAGATGGCCTCCTCTCTGATTTACATCATTGTTGCCACCTTCAGATGGACTCAGCATTGATCTGCTTAAGAGTGAGACTAAATCTAAAGGGATTTGTATCATTCAAATTTTATTATAGAGTGATAAGCTGCAAACCTGTTCCGATGGCTGGAAGGGAAACTGATGTGTACTTCCTCTGTTCACACTCTTCTAGAACACTGGTGACTGTTTTCCTGACATCATTTTCCCCAAGAACATGAATTATTATTTTGCACTTTAAGCGTCCACCTTGTGTAATTATAAAATCTCCGTGTGGCTGTGCAGCTGAAAAAAAGGGAAGAAAAACAAACATGCAGCCCATTAGTTACTGGAGGCAACACTTTGATTTTTGAGAAATGAACATAGCTGACATCAGTGAAGGCTGTGAAGCCCAGCCTCCCTCGAGCCTGTTGGTTTCATTCACTGGACTGTGACAGCCACATTTTCTTTACAATCAGAATTCTCGAGCTCAACAAATACACTGTTGAGTATTTGGAGTGCTGTTCAAAAGCACTTTATCTGCATTAATCTGCTCAATCCTCAAAACAAGCCCGTGAAGCAGGTACTGTTTTCCCATTCACACATGAAACAGCCACAGAGAGAGGTAAGGTCAGCAGCCAAAGATTGCCTGGGACTTGAACCCAAGCAGCCAGTCTCCAGAGCTCTAAACCCCCACTCTGCTGTCCCAGAAGAGTAAAAAATAACGTGGCTCATTCAGCCACGTTAATTTTTGAAGGAGGTAAAAGCAATGAACTCTGTGGCACGGAGGTGTAAAAGGATGAAAACTTCTCCTTCGCTCAGGACTCTAGAGCTCTTGAGCACATGGAAATGACCAGGGCCATTTTAAGGCATTGCTTCTTTGGTTCAGACTGCTCTGAGTAAGGCTGGGGCCGGCAAAAGGAAGGAGGAGAAGAGTGGATCCCTGCCTATCCCATCCTGCCCTCCTGAGGAGCACCCATGCCCAGGCACTCCCTAGGGCCCCTCGGGTGTCCTTCTCACCTCCCTCCCAGGCAGCCTCCTCAGGCTTTTCCAGGTTGTGCAGCCCACCTTCATCCTCTGGTCCTGCCTCCCAGGCACAGCGAGCTCTCCCAGTGCTCCAACTCCTGCTAACTCCTCATGTTAGTGATCAAATATTATCTTCCTCTGTTCTCACTCCAGAGCTTTATTCACTCCAGAGAAATTTCTTAATCAGAGGAGAGCTACTAAGATAGGAGTTTCAGGCACTGTAGCAGGTCAGTTGCAGGAATACATTGTCAAACATGGTGCACTATGACTTCTTGAAAGCACATTCACAGCTGACTGTCTACCTTACTCTGCAAGGGGTATTTTAAAGGACAAATAGTTTATAATCACTACCTTAGGTTCCCCACTCAAAGTCCACACTCATTCATAAAAGGATTAGAAGTTGGTTATATGCAGTTGTGTTGGAAGAAGTAGAACAAGGTTGGGGAAAGTTTGTACAGCACTTTACAGTTTACAGAACTTTTCACATTAATTGTTCCTTCTGATCCTCAAAACCACCTGTGGCACAGCTTTCCCACACTACTTATTAGTAGAACTTTCCTACTGATGAGAGAAGCAAAGCTCTTAGCAGTTAGATGACGTGCCTAGGATCGCTCAGTAAATGGCAGAGCCTGGATTATTAGGACCCAGGCCTGCGTTCTTTTTACTACTCAGGAAGTAAGAGACAGATGAGATGGTGGGATAAAGAACCTCTCCCCCATAGCCTCCAAGTCCCACCACCTGTGCCTGCTCTTCCAGTGAACTAACCTTCTTTCAAAGTTTTGCTCGCTACTTATTCCACCCCCAGTCCTCCTGTACATCCTCTCATTGTAATCTCAGCCCTCTGATTTTCAAGTTTGTAGTCAAAAGTAACATGTGCCCATACCTAGTACAGCACATTCATTTTCCACAGCTTGTCCAGCACTCTCTAAAATAGCTTTTGACACACCTAAATAAGACATGTTAATGGTAAAAGGCATCAGTTAGAATTCAATAAGTGGTTATAGCTTTTGTACATTAGACTTCTGCTCAACTCACCCTTTTGTGCATAATCCATTGACCACCCCCATGCCCAACCAACTGCTGTTTCTATAGCAACCTCCACCCAGTGGCTGATGAACAGTCTGATCTCAGTGCCATGGAAGTGCCCAGGATCTGAAAGGCTGGCATCTGCAACTTTACCTTCTCTATTTATACAGGACTCTTTTTGCAGTTATTCGAAATTTTTTGCATTCTACCCTTATTATTTTGTAAAAATGAATGAAAATATAAAAATAAAAGTTCTGATACTAATGAGAAGCATGGATCTCAAAACTGTAATAAAATCAAGCACTTTACTAAGTTATTTGATTCCCTGCCCCATTCAGTTAGACAGATGGTTTCAGTTCAGTGAATCTTCCAGTCAAGGTTGTAGCTTCACCACTTTGGTCAAGTCTAATGACAGCTGGGTTCAGTGGTTAAAAACATGGACTTTGCATTTCGACAAATTGGGTTGAAGTTGACTCCAGGATTTACTAGCTTGTATGTGACTAATAAGTTCCTCATCTGTTACACAGAGGCTAATATGGCACTTCCCTCACAGGGTTATTTGTACATTAAAAGAGGTAATGGATGAAAAATGCTTAGCACAGAACCTGGCGTGCAGAAAATATTGAATGAATGTTAGTTGTTTTATCATTATGAAGATATCTATATATCCTTGATTATGTGTGTGTGTTATAAAATGTGTCTTTTTAAAAAAATCTTTTTTCAACTTGTTTGTTTTGGTCTCTGTCTTTGCTGTGAAGACTTTTTTCAAATGTCAAGTGATCTTCGCCAGTCCATTCCTATTTAAGAGTGAGCTTAGAAGTTCTACTCAAGAAGGCGGGTTGACCAGTGGGCTTCAGTGTAAGGCAAGCAGGCAGCACCTGCTGTCTGCTGCTCTGGGATCCACGCAGGGAGAGGGGCTGGGCACTCAATGTTTGGTACACAGATGTTCTCTTAAACAGTTTTCAGTCTAGCTCCTCATCTCACCTATGCCTGGTGCCCTAAGTCCAAAATACCTCTGGTTCTGTTTCTCTAGAGAATAAACCTCCCATCTCTGGCCAGGGAAGAGCAAGGAAAGTTACTGCTGTATAGGATGGGGGATCCAATCAAGTAGTCTAATTGCTACTGATCTTGAATTTCATTCAACCTTGTTTTTATCTCTGTACTTGCCCCTTGCCTTCCCAGATACCAGCAGCCTCCAATTCCTGTATCTCTGGGGCTACTCTTCTCTCCTGCAGGTACTAAATTTTCTCTACTCCATGGCAGTTACCACTCTTGGCTAGCAGCTCCCCATCATCTAAAAATTTGTTATCTTCTGTTCATAGTTGTTTTCCTTCCAATGTTCTTTTTTCTTGTGTGTTTATATCCTTTTCATTCCTTTACAGTTGTATTAATGGAATCCAAAAGGGGATGGGGATAAATGCATAGGTTCAATTTAGCGTGTTTCAAATAACCAAATGTTATTTATGTCTACATTTTAAATGACTGAAAAATAGAATGACCAATGAATTAAATGGATATTCTACAGATTCACTTCTGCATGGTAAGTTCCATAATATTTTTCAACTTGGAAAATATTTAAATTCTATTTCTATTTATGTTTTACCTTACCCTTTTAACTTAAAAGTCAACGTTTTATAATATACAAAAATTTAAGAGGGCTAGGCACGGTGGCTCATGCCTGTAATCACAGCACTTTGGGAGGCCAAGGCAGGCAGATCACCTGAGGTCAGGAGTTCGAGACCAGCCTGGCCAACATAGTGAAACCCCATCTCTAACAACAACAACAAAAAAAATTAGGTGGTGGCGCATGCCTGTAGTCCCAGCTACTCAGGAGGCTAAGGCATGAGAATCACTTGAACTCGGGAGGCAGAGGTGGCAGTGAGCCAAGATCACACCACTTCATTCCAGCCTAGGTGACAGAATGAGACTCCACCTCAAAAAACCCAAAAAGGTTAAGAGTGTATGTGTATAAGTTATAAATTAATAGACATATGAGGGGAGGGCATGCCTGAATGTGTTACTATGATGGGAGTGGTCAAACATTTCAGGGAAAATAAAGAAAAAGGTTTGTGTTTCATTTCTGGGTCAGTGTAATGTAGAGAAGAGAAGAACTATGGGAGGTGAGTTGTGAATGCCAACTGGGTTGCATAAAAAGGAAAATAAAAATAGAGGAACTTAGAGGTACTAAACTATACATGTGGAAATTCAACAGTCCAGAGCTGACACTAAGTACCATGCGTCAGTTACACTCCACCTTTATATCAGTTGACACCCCATCTCATCCTCTCCTGGGAAATAGGTGTTTGACAGGCAAAGAAACTGACACTCAGAGAGGTTAAGTGACTTGTCCACAGCTATACATTGGTAAGTGACGTAGCTGGGATTCAACCCACATCTTCCTGAGTTCAGGGACTACATATTTTCTACAACACTCTCTGTCTACTCAGGGCAAATATTAGCCACAATTTCCCTTCCAGAAATTAGTCATACTAATAATTACAATGTATTGCTTAAATAAAGTACCTGATTTCAGATTAAATGTCCTTGTTGTTGAGTTGACAATAACATCTACCTGTTCAGTTTTTATATCTCCAGTAGCAACCTGAAAAGTAATTGCACCAATTTTCATTTCATATGCTGTGAAATAAGGCTTAGAGACAGTCCCGACCACACCTGAAAAGAAAGGAAATAGGTAAAGAATGGGCTGGCTCAGCTTCTGGAGGAACAGCACTCATCTTGGGGCCCTATTCTCTTCCCAGCCCGGCCCTCTTTCTTTTCTCCCAACATAAACCCAAATTTTACCGTATCTCCTGGCCTCTTAAACAGCTAGGTTTTCTTTTTAAAGGAAATTAGAAAACAATGCTTTGTGACAGTTAGCATATCTACATTTTCTGAGTTACATAGGATGAGGCAGAAATATCCGATTGTGCCAGTCTGTCTACTGGCAAGAGCTGCTGTGGTGTCGAGAGAGGAGTGAGGAAAAAAAGGCAGTGTAAAAAGGGCACTGTCCTTTCTTGCAGACAACACTGCTAGGAGGGTCTTTTATTACCACAGGTGTAGCAATATAAAGGTTGCTCTGAAATCCCAGTACTTTGGGAGGCTGAGGTGGGAGGATCACTTGAGGTCAGGAGTTCGAGACCAGCCTGGCCAATGTGGTGAAACCGTGTGTCTACTAAAAATACAGAAAAATTAGCTGGGTGTGGTGGTGCACACCTGTCATCCCAGCTACTTGGGAGACTGAAGCAAGAGGATGGCTTGAACTGAGGAGGCAGAGGTTGTAGTGAGCAGAGATCACGCCACTGCACTCCATCCTGGGTGACAGAGCAAGACTCCATCTCAAAAAAAAAAAGACTGCTCAGAGGAAGTTACGTTTAATCTGTTGACATATTACTCTCCACTCCACACTCTGAGGCTTACAACTTAGATATGCCACTTCAGCTCATCCCTTAAACCCTTTAGATCTACCTTTTGACATTTATACAGTGGCAACAGAACCACCTGCCATGGGGCCATTGTACATGTTAGATAATATACCATATAAGACAGCAATCAGTAAAGTATAGTGTGCCAGGCACAGTTTGGTTATTTTTTATTACCATTTCTTAGAAACTGGTTTCATTACCATTGATTTGGTTCATGTTAATATGCGATTGCTTCTTTGTGTGCCCAGACAATGGGACATGCTCTAACACCTCCTCTATCACAGATTTGTTCTTCATGTGAATTAGCTTTGCCTCCTTCTATTGGACTTCAACTACCACTGAAGAGTTGCTCAGCAAAAGGAAATATTTCCTTAGCAGAATGACTTTACCAGACCTTGGGTATCTCCAGCCGTGGGAATCCTGGCCTTGTCGGGATTTATTCTTGACCATTTAGTGAATTCATCTAAAAATGCCTGGAAATAGAAATAGTTACTGACCACAACAATGTTGTGTAAAAATATTAATCCAATTCTTTGGAGCATTGATCATCCAATATCAAAGAGTTAATAACAATAGTTCTCAAAAGATTTCCTCTTCCTTCAGAGACTTCTTAAAGGATTGCAGCTCAACCTAGGAATTTTCTCAGCAAATAGCAGTGCTGATTTACTTTACCCTGGGAGTAATCTAACACTGTCCAGGCAAGTATGTCAGCAGGGGTGCTGACTCTGGCTCTGCAGGAAGTCACATGCCTTTTTTGTGACCACTATCAGTTATCCCTCCTCTTTTGAAACTCCATAATTCTAATCTCCTACATCCAATGCGCTGAGGGCAGTGTAGAGCATTTGTAGGTGAGCGGGGTCAGGGCAACAACGTTCCTTGGCATCTCTGGCTGTTAGGTACATTCTGGGGGTGATTAACAACAAACACATACAGTATGCTTCATCTCTTATGTCCAGCCAAAGCCTCCTGAATGAAAACATGAAAATTCACAGTAGAAAACCTCAGACATTGAAGTTTTGTTTAGAAATCAAAAAACAAAAAGGCATTTTGGTCGTGTGAGTGATAAAACTGAGCAATGGGTGACAGAGTAGAGTTATAAAGTTTCACTTGGGTTGTATTCATCCATTTTCTTTCTTTTCAGGTATCTTTGGGACTCTTTCTACTTTTTTCTCTTTCTTTCTCTTTTCTTTCTTTCTTTCTTTCTCTGTCGCCTGCCTTCCTTCCTTCCTTCCTTCCTTCCTTCCTTCCTTTCCTTCCTTCCTTCCTTCCTTCCTTCCTTCCTTCCTTCCTTCCTTCCTTCTTT